GGAGTGTTTTGTTGTTAATTTGAATGTATGGAGAAAAAGCAGGATACTACATAATTTTAAAGCACAAAACACAGGACACTTTTTTCTATAATAACAAGAGAAAGAATTCAAAGCTTCTCAAAAATATTTTCTGCTGGATAAGGTCTCAATGAACCTTTTTGAATTTAGGCTTCCTCCTCTACCTCAACTATGTCCTGTGCTATATGTGGGCCATAGGATTTGACATCAGTGCATTCCTCTAAGTCAACCATATGTGAAGTGAAAGATATATATCATGCCACCAAAGGAAAACATTAAGGATGAAAATAAACATCATTAACATTATCTTGTCAGTACCAAAACTACCCCATCTTCTTTATTGAAAGCATAAATGTGCAACACATTCTTGTGGAGAAGTTCCCAAAAGATATACTTCAAGGGAAGAAAACTAAATAATGATAATTGGGAATTTTGAAGGAATGTTATGCTCACCCACAAAGACTAGGTTGCTGTAGTTCTCCAAMATCACTTCTCTATATAAATTCTGCTGAGCAGGATCCAGGCACTCCCATTCCTCCTTAGAGAAATCAATAGACACATCCCCGAATGTCAATGGCTCCTGAAATAAAAAATTGTTAGATCAATAGAACATGGACCAAACCATTATTCAGCTTTTAATATGAATTAAGAGTTAGTAGAACTGACTGTCATGTTGGAGAGTGACTTTAATTATGTAATAAGATACTTTGCATTATCTAATTCAGAAGAAAATACACAAGTCCAAAAACAGTATATATATCCATATCAGAGTGATGTGAAGGATATATATCATAATACAAGCAATGAATAAAAGCCCAACTCCTAAGTTTTCTGCCATCAGTGAATGTGAAATTTGGCAGAAATTCCAGATGCAAATCAGACTTTTCAAAGATAATCTCATAAGGTGATTGTGCACAAGGGAGACAAAAAGAATGGTAAAAAAGCTTTTGAAAACAGTCTGGTTCCTATTCTCTCTGCTTTCTATGCATGAGATAGATTGAGATCCCCAATACAATTAGTTTCCAGTATCATCCATGAAACATTCCCAATGTGTAAAATATTCATAAAATATTAGTTTTTGGAGACAGGTAAAGTGACACTTCCACCTCGTGAAAGACAAACTTGAATTATTTCAAGTTATATAAGCAGTTCAACGAATGAATAAATTTGGTACAATAGAACAAACAATGGGTTACAAAAGACTTCAAGGAGGAGATTAAAAAATTCTTAGAGGTAAACAAGAACATAGACACAACATATCAAAATCTCTTGGACACTATGAAACCAGAACTAGGAGGAAACTTCATTGCATGGAGTTCATTCCTTAAAAGAATAAAAAGTCAATAATTGATTTCATACTTCATCTCAAAGTCCTAGAAGAACAAATCAACAGCAAATGCAGTAGAAGGAAAGAAATAATTGAAATTAGAACTGAAATGGAATTAAAAGAAACAATTAAACCTTGACAAAATGTTGGTTTTCTGACAGACCCTATGCTAATGAAGAAAAAGAAAGAGAAAATTCAAATTACCAGCATACATGATGAAAAAGGCAATATCCCAACAGACACTACAGAAATAGACAGGATATTTAGAAATTATCTTGAAAATGTATACCCCAATAAAACAGAAGACACTGAAGGCATCAACAAATTTCTTAAGTCATATGATATGCCCAGATTGAATCAGGAAGACATACACAATTTAAACAGACCAATATTAAATGATGAAATACAAGATGCCATCAGAAGCTTACCAACCAAGAAAGCCCAGGCCCAGATGGATACACTGCTGAGTTAAACAAGACCTTTGGAGAAGAAATTCAAAAATACCAATATTCTTCAATTTATTTTAGAAAATACAGAAAGAAGCAGCACTTCCAAACTCATTCATTGAGGCCAATATCACCCTGATCCACAAACCAGGCAGGGACAAATGAAATAAAGAAAACTTCAGGCCAATATCTCTAATGAATATAGATGAAAAAATTCTGAAAAAAATTCTGCCAAATTAAATACAAAAACATATTAAAAAGGTCGTGCACCAAGATCAAGTGGGGTTTGTCCAAGAATACAGGGTTGGTTCAACATATAGAAATCAATAAAGGTAATTCATCACATCAATAAACTTAAAAATAAGAATCATATGATCATCTCAAGAGATACAGAAAAACCATTTGACAAAATACAGCACCCTTTCATGTTCAAAAAATTAGAAAAACCTGAGATAACAGGAATAAACCTCAACATCATACTGGCTCTCTACATTAAGCATAAGGCCAACATCATTTGAAAGGGAGAAAAACTAAAGGCATTCCCTCTAAAAACTGGAACAAGACAGGGGTGCTCTCTCTCACCATTTCTATTCAACATATTTCTTGAAACACTGGCCAGAGCAATTAGACAGACGAAAGAAATTAAAGGAATAACTACAGAAAAAGAATTTAAATTAGCACTATTTGCGGACAATATGATTCTATAACTAGAAGACCCCAAAAGCACCATCAGAAAACTTCTAGAACTAAAAATGAATTCAGCAAAGCAGCAGGATATAAAATTAACACACATTAAAAAAAGGCATTTCTGTATTTCAGTGACAAAGCATCAAGAAGGAAATAAGAAAAACTACCCCATTTACAGTAACTTCAATAAAAGAACACATAAGATACTTGGTAATCAACTTAACCAAAGAGGTGAAAGATCTATACAATGAAACCTACAGAACCCTAAAGAAAGAAATCAAAGAAGACCTTAGAAGATAGAAAGATCTACCTTACTCTTGCATAGGCAGAATTAATATTATCAAAACGACCATACAACCAAAAGCACTACACTGATTTAATGCAATTCTGATCCAAATCCCAAGGACATTTCTCATAGAAATAGAAAAAGCAATCATGAAATTCATCTGGCAAAATAAGAATNCCCCAAATTCGTTAATAAGATGCCTATAGCACAAGAATTAAAACCAAGAATCAACAAATGGGATGGATTCAAACTAAAAAGTTTCTTCTCAGAAAAAAAATCTGAGGTGAACAGAGAGCCTACATCCTGGGAGTAGATTTTTACTTCTCACACATCAGATAGAGAACTAATATCTAGTATATAAAGAACTCAAAATGCTAAGCAACAAAAAACCCAATAATCCAGCCAACAAATTGACCAAAGACCTGAACAGACACTTTTCAGAAAAGGATGTAGAAACAATCAACAAATATTTTTTAAAAAGTTCATCATCTCTTGCAATTAGAGAAATGCAAATCACAACCACTCTAAAATATCATCTCACTCCAGTGAGAATGGCAGCTATTATAAAGACAAACAACAAATGTTGGCAAGGAAGTGGGGGAAAAGGCACACTCATACACTGCTGGTGGGACTGCAAATTGGTGCAAAAAACATGGAAAACTGTATAGAGACTCCTTGGAAATCTGGGAATGAAAACACCATTTGACCCAGCTATTCCTCTTTTGGACTATTCTCAAAGGACTTGAAAACAGCATACTACAGGGTCACATCCATGTCAGTGTTTATGACAGCACAATGCAGAATAGCAAACTGTGGAGCCAACCCAGATGCGTTTCAGTGGATGAATGGATAAAAATATGGGGCACATATACACAATGAAATTTTACTCAGTAATAATAAAATCATGGCAATTGCATGCAAATGGATGGTATTGTAGAAGTGAAGTTAGGCAATTACAAAAAATAAATGTTGAATGGTTTATCTGATATGAGGAGGCTAACTATAGTGGGGTAGGGAGGGGGAGCATTGGAGGAATAGATGAATTCTACATAGGGCAGAGGGGTTGGAGGGGAGTGGAGGAGGCAGGGGATTAGCAGTGATTGTGGAATGTGATGACACCATTATCCAAAGTACATATATGAAGACCCAAATTGGTGCCAACATACCTTATATAGAACCAGAGATATGAAAAACTGTGATATATATGGGTATTAAGAGTTGTATTGCAGAAAGAAATGAGTACATATATAATGGCATAAATTAGCATGAATATACTTTCTGTACAGAGATATGAAAAATTGAGCTCTATTTGTGTAATAAGAATTGTAATGCATTCCACTGTTGTCATGTATTTAAAAAATAA